GACGGATGAGAGAGAATACTCGGTAACTTGAGCGTCGCAGACCGAATTCCGATGAGTTCTTATTCGCCTTACCCGTTTGTCGATCGCTGGGAGACTTCATTTCCAGGGTTTCCTAATCTCTGCAAGTGCAGGGCTACAGAATATACAGTAGGCCTATTATACCACCCCTGAGAGAGGGACAAGAGGAGAAAAGCTTTAATGGCGAGAAGCTTCTTTTTCCCCTCCCCCCCTTCCCCCCCTCCCCCCTCTCCCCCTTCCGCCTCCCTCCTCCCCTTCCCCTACTCCTCCTCTTCCCTCCTCGTTTATATAACCCCTTTCATCTCTATTAGTGGTATATGGGAGTTGTCTTCATGGGTGGGCCATTCTTTCATGAAACCCATATCAGAGATCCATTAAAGAAAGGAGACTCCTCTAGATTACACCTGCATTGCAGTCCGGATACGGAAATTTGAGTGCTCCTAGTTTCTAGTCCACACACACTACTCATGTGCTAGTTCTCTTTGTTCACTCAGACAAGTTCTCTTTTCTGCTTTCCTGGTAGAGGAGGTATCGGCAGTGCCTTTCAGCACTAAGCAAATAGTTCTGTTTTCCTCTCCTCACTTCCACTGGCTTTTTTTTCTACCTTCCCTCTGTCTAATGAAAGATCCGCTTCCCAACGTGGTGAGAATTTCGTTTACGCCCCAGTCAAGAATTCCTCGGATTGCATTTATGCCAGTAAGCCAGACTTTTCTGCAAGGTTTCCTTGGGAGACGAGTTTGTAAAATTGCAGATGCGAAAGCACGTAATCATTTAATAATAGAATTGATGCGAAAAAGAACGAGCGCGATGGTCGTGAAGTTGTTTCTTCTCTCTCAAGTTAAAAAAAAAGTAACCACTGCCCACTTCAGCGGTATGAGATTTTTATGCACACGCTGTCACGAGCCACAAAGTGATGCTGGGAACTCGCCTCTCGCAACTCAGGATGTAATCTGTCCGGAGAATGGGCCTCTCCATGCATAAAGACGTTCAGACGTGCCGCATCTGCATCATTTCCCTCCCTGCAAGAGGAACAGCGAATGGACCGTCGACCGATCTATGAATATAAGAGAAACCCAGAAAACGGATTTCCCATCCACATGAAGAGTTTCCGGCATGGCTCCATCACGAGCGGCGATGCCAGAGGGTTCCACCCGAGATATAGAGGCTCGAAATGCAATCTTACTGACGGGTTCAATCGATGGAACGGGTGAAGGCCAGTGCAGGGTATCTACGGCTCCTTTCGGTTTGGTTTTCTCGGTTTCCACTGAGATTTACCGAGGCCTTGTGCAAAGGATCCTAATGATTTGCTCGAAGGGATTTCAAACGTCAAACGGTAGGGATTTTGAGCATGCTTGGGTGCAGCGCATCCACTAATCAATCTCACTCAGCCAATTCAGCAGAAACTGAGTGATTTACTGTAATCGAGCCAGGAAATTACGAAAAAAGAGGGATTCCCCTGGCTGTCAGCAGTGAGAAATGATGTTTGATGCACGAAGGCAAAGAGAGAGAGATAGGGGAGAGAGAGAGAGAGTAAATCCTATTCATCCATCTTTTGCTTCCATAACTTTCCGCTCCTCAACCCTGTTTTAATGGAAAACAAAAAACGCTGCGTGGAACGTACTCGATAAAGTACCGATACCCCGAGGATAAGATAAACGATCCGAGTCCTGGCATAATATGGCTTTCGTCACCCGTTGACGGCGATGACGCGCGTGATGAGTGGATCGCTCGTGCGTGCATCGCACTGCTACGTTTCTTCTCCTTGCAAACTACGAGGGAGAAAAGAAATTCGAGGCTAAAGAGGAGCCTCGAAATCGTCGTGGCTGTCTGGGGAATTCTTCAAACGACTAATGTACCCTATTTTTCTGGGCCTTTTCATTGTGCACGGTACTGTTCCCCGGTTTAATTTCCCTATTGTGCATCCGCAGCCTTCTTTGAAGACGAGCATCGTTTGAGACCATATAAGTCCTTGTCTCGTTCTCGCTGCCCTTGCCACTTACAAAGGACTTCGCATTTTAAATGGCTACGATGACAATGCGTCCTTCCCTCTCGGGTCGAGAAAAAAAAGATTAATCGTGGGAGGGAGAAGTGTATGTTTCGGTCTCGAGATGGAATGAGAAAAAATGGAGAATGATGGAGATATCATTACCTCTTAATTATGTATCGTCAACTCTAGAGTTCCGTTTTAATTTGACCGCAATTATGTGGCGCACAGTGCATCAAACGTGAGTTTCTCGTATTTTTTTCTGTCTCGAATTTGAGAAATGGGTCAAGGCCCCCAAAGACCGAGGGAAGGAGAAAGAGAGAAAAAAAAAAAGAAGTTTCGCACGCTCAGGCGTGGAAAAAAAAAAGAGCCCTGAGACCATTGCGTTTTGGAAATTGCGTACCAATACGTAGACAGAGAAATGGCTGGAAGGTTTGTTCTGCTCGGCTGGGCCCTCATTCCCCCTTCGTTTTCATTCCTGCCGCTTCAGTGAGGGTTTCGCTCTTGAGTCATCGGTACTTCCAAGTGCCTGTGCCGTACTTCTTAGTTCCGTGAGTTCATTCTTGGGTCTTTTCCCTTCAGGGTCATCAGTAGTTCGTTAAGGAAATTAAAAGGCTGCATGACTGCGTCTATTGACACTGAAATCGTAAAAAAGTCAGTTATTGCGGAGTTTCACGAACGAACGAAATTCCTGCAGCTTCTCAATTTCTCATCCATCCCAAAGGGGGAAGTGGAAATAAATGTTGGGATCTACAGAATCTTCCGATTGAATTAAATACTTGCGTCGTGACTTGAAACACACGACGGAGGCCGAGCCATCTTTACAAAATTTCCAAGTTCAATTAAAACCAGTGTGAGTGATAATATGGTCGAACTACACAACACTAGAATTTAGATTTTGCGAGGGCAAGAGAGCCTCTTTTAAAGGTAAATAAAAACAGGGAAAAATACAAAGATTGGTTAGAAAATTTTGTTCATGGTCTTGACAGTGCTTTTGATCCGTATGCACCCTTGAAGAAGGCGTCTCAATGCCACGTCACCTTGGAGCCGTTTTCCGGATATTGCGTAATAAGCCTTCCAACCGATACGGTTCCTGGGCAGATGATGATGATGATGATGATAATGAGACGAGGTTTCAAGTTTTCACCATCCAGGAGTGCGATTTTACGAGCGTGGATTCGGTTAGGCCTAAATGAAGAAGAGTCATGGAAGCGTATCTGGGATCGTGACTCCCGTTCAAGTACTGCGCAAAGAAAATAGGGCAGTGAATGCGAAAATGAAGTCATCTTCATCCGTCTTCTCCCTTTCTTCGTCCTCAGAGCTCTTCAGGTTTATTTTCAGTTCCGCATCATGCATTCCGCGTGCGACTTTTTCTTGAACCTCGAACGTCGCACTCAGAGCCTGATAATCGGCGAGTCTCCCCGAGACGCACGATCGTGTCGAAATCGAATATGCCCATGCACTGGGACAATGGAGGTTGGTCTCGCGCATCGAGACGAGAGTGAAGCGAGTCCTGCTCCAGTTCTCCAACGACGCAAGGAGAGTCCAGACGGAAGAACACCCGAGTTCTTCCTCATCTCTGGTTCACCGACAAACCGTTGCCCTTCTCGTTCTAAGAGAATTTTTTTTTCTCCCCCTCTTTTCAATTCCATTTGCGGAACTGTTCGTTGAAAAACATTTTCCGCTCCACCGACAGGCCATTTCTTTCACTACATCCTTCGAGAAGTAGTGTCCATTACAGGCTGCATTCTTCGCTTTCATTGCCAGAAGCCTATAGATCAGAATCCTCTCCTCTGTCTTATTTTCTACGTAGTGCTGTAATGGGAAGTAATGGCAAGACAACAGAGGTTCGCTTTGATTGGGTGGGAAAGTGCAATGCGATATATAATTTACTTTCCTCTAGTACCCTGTGGTTATCTGTCGGACATGGATCAGGGCGATAATTTCGTTTCTTTTCTCGGTGTCACTCATAGTCAGTCTCTCATGAGAACTCCTCCCTTCGGCTTTTTTTTACAATGGAATTTGCGCTTCGTACCGACGAACTCGAGTTGAAAGAGTACGAAGTAGATCCGAATTCACCGGATTCTATCGTTGCCAAGCATCTGTCTTTTCATGAAGAGGGAGGAGGAGGCGGAGGTGGGAAGGATACAGATCGCCGACCTTCTGAGTGGAAAATGCCGTGGCTCGGGTTGTTCGGCTTCCGGTCACTTCTCCCACCACTCACGAACGTGATCTAATCAACGCCGTCGCTTTCTTTCTCTCAGTCTTTTCATCAACTTCCCTCTTTCTTATCCTTTCCGTTCTTCGAGGGATCTCAGATCGCATGCAGCCTCATGTTCAGTCGTGAACGACGCGGCAAGGACCCGTAACGAAACGAGTGAGGAAGCAGGGAACGGGGAAGGAACGTGGGAAAAGTAGTGAATAGAATGACTTTTTCCTCTTGAGACAAGTTCATTGTCTCTAGCATTCCTTTGCAAGTTGGCCATTGTCCAGTGCATAGAGTGCCGGCTACATGGGTGTTGAGAATCGGGGAGCTGTAAAACTCTGGCCCTGTGCTCATGTTCCCATCCTCTCTACCTTGGACGCCTTGGCGGACATTCGGTACAGGTGGGCTACGGAAGTTCTTAATCCAGAAAAAATTGTATTTTCGTTGGTAAATTATGAAGTTTGTCGTTCCGGCATGTTGGAAGACAAATAATTGGATCGCTATTTTACTATCTGCTAGTGATAGGGAGTTCACGAAATCGCCCATCCTATGAAATCTCAGGCATCTTATGAAATGATTGCAAAATTTGGAAAGTCTTTGGGCAAGCACAGAAATGCAAACTGGAGAAATGAAGCTTCTGCGAACGATCTCTTGTAATTAAGCTGAATCGCAACCGGCACCAGTACTGCCAGAGCTGTCTTTGAAATTAGATCCATCATGTCTGAAGATCCATCCGACAATTATTTCCATGTTGCAGTTTGACATGCTTCGTCATGGGTTTCTTGAATGTGCATGTCTGTAGTCCTCTTGAAGCAGCTTTGGACCATCTTCTCTCCCTATGATGCTGCTGTTGGAAGTACGCACAACCACTTTTCTTCGGTTCTCCTGAAGCCAAAGGGTGAATTGCATAAACGTGACTTTAGCGTAATGGAGTTTTAAAACTCCTTTAGCGGCGCTAAAGGAGTTTCAAAACACATTATTAGGAGCGTAATTTCCTCGGTGTATCGTTATACTGTAGTATCTCCTGCTAAGTTCTGCCCATGGGGAACCCGCTTGGCTCGTGAACCTCATTAATATTCATCACAATAACACCCTGAGCGATAGCGATCTCGAATTTAATTTTCGTTTGAATGAACTGCACGTCACCTATCGATCTTCCCCCTGGTTATGGCGCATAACATATTTGCTGGACCTCTCTCCACTTCTCATTGATCGCGATATCAAATTTCTCGAAGCACTTTCTAAGATGCCCCTTCTCGAATGACTCGATACATATACTGTATCCACTATGGTCTCAATTACGCTGGACAGAGGATTCGTATGCCTCCAAGTGACCACTCTGCTAGATTCTTGATACACCGATCAGGGATATTTGAGGTTTGCTTCAACCTCGAAAACTTTTGCTTTTGCATAACAAAGAACGTTTAGCATTGTACTTCATATGGTTTCTGCATACGAGATACAATAAAAAAAAGTTCTAAGGAAGATTTTATTTCTTGGAACTGAAACTCTTTCGGCTTACAGCCCATGGCAATAATAGTATGGCCTGGAGAGTATCTTCCAACGTAAGTGTCTGGGAGCTTTTTTTTTCAAACACCAGTCACGTTCTGGCTCTAAGTCAATTGAAAAGAAAACGATAGACATTAAATTTCGCTAATTTGGAGACTGCAAGTGGTCTGTCACGGTTGACTTCGATCATCATGGCCATTCTATCCAGAGTCAAAAAGACATGTCTCTTAGAGGAAATAAAAACTTTTTAGGAGTTCAAAAAGGATAGTATGCAACGATCTCAAGTGAAGACATCACTTTCTTTAGGAGTGATAGGATTGTTGTTCCATAGAGTCAAACAGTACGGTATGGATGGATTGTCTCGACGGAGACCCGATGTCATAAAGAAATGTTTAACCTTTGTGCAATAAAGTAATTCAGTCCTGAACCGCACTTCATACGTACCACGGTATAGTTCAGACACTGTAAAGATATGCTTGTGACTTTCCTTCAGGCGTTACTTCTCCCTGATTCTGTAGAAGGCGATATTTTAGGAGTGTAGAGGCGTGAAGAGTTGACTAACGAACTTACTTGAAAAGAAGCAAATTGTTGGGAAAGACATATTCCCTCTTAAACGAGTTTCCTCTTGTTGTCCCCATTAGTGCTAGAGCTTACGACAGGATTTTTGCGGAAGCGGCTGGAGGATATGTCTTGATCAGGATCGAGGCCGTCATCGTTGGTTGATCAAAGGAAACTGATATATATCCTCACGGCATTGCCTCATCTGTGGCTCCTTTTCATTCCTCTCTCTTTCGTTCCAGTGCCAGTGAGCTCCGCGTCTCGACTGCGATGTGAGAAGGGTTTTTTGTGGTGATTGAGGTGAAAGTGATGTCATCAGTTGAGCAGGATCCAATGCTGTGTCAAGGTGAATCCGCTTCCAGCCTTAGTTTAATATTCAAGGCCGTGAAACAAGTAGACTGTGAAAATGCAGTGTAGGTGCGTCACTAGGAAATGAGCTTTTTTTTATAACGAAGATTAACGCGTGTATGGGTGTCTTGAAATTGTCAGGAGAGAAACAGCATGCTCTTGTCATCTTTCGATCTCTTCTCCAAATTCCGGAGTTCTTCATTCCATGTTCCAGTTGCTCTTCCATGATGACGGCGGCATGGGGACGAACTCGGCAGTAAGGTGAACTAAAAAAGATAATTTCTTGCGCATTGCGACAGTCGGGATCTGTTGTAAAACCCCGAAATTTGACCTTGCAGGGAAAAGGGTGACGTTTTCATTCCACGTGATCGAGAAGTAGATTCTCGGGAAATCACATAAATAAAGATAGGTTTGAGGAAACTGCAAATACTGAAGGAATTCCGTAATTCCCACTTAGACTGCACTTTCGCTGCAATATACGGCCTGATAAGAAACCCAAAAACAATCCGAAACCTTGGTGCCGCCCAGTATTCGTTTGAGTTCCGTATAACTGACGAAGACCTATGGTGAAGCGAAGGCCGGCAACGATGAAAAATTTTCTGCAGTTTCTCCCCGACAGAGAAAAAATGATTTTTCATGAGAACTCCAAACAGCTTAGGCATAGAGAATCTAGCGTGGAATGGTGGGAGCATTATGGGCATCTGTTGTTTTGTTGAGAACGAAAAAAAAAAGCTTCCCGTCAGGCTTAAAAGGAGAACAATTCAAGGGGAGGGATCTTCCATCTGGAGGAGAGATATAACTCCGACTGTATATTGAAGTCATTCTTCATCCGGATTTCTCCACTCCGGCATCTGTGGCTCGAATCGGAAGGAACACATGTGCGGCGGGCTTTCAACTTCGTATCAGGAAGAGAGGAGAGATTTCTCGGCTCCCTTTTTTGCTTGAAAATTTTCTGTGTGGGAGTTCAACGGTCTGTGAAACGATCTTGATGCAGTTTTTCCCTTCCCGTCAACTCCCTTTTGTACGCTATGTGCACCAGACTTTTGATTTGCATAGGAGACGATGCCTTAGGATCTTTCACTGAATAACTTTCCCGTCAAGGTTTATACCGTCCACGCTCGCTAGGCTGGTAATGAGCCTAGATTCCTCTAGTAATTCCTTCTCAAAACTGCGAGGTTCGTGCTATACTTATGGTCCCCATGTTTTAGTGGTGAATATATAGACGCCAACCTCTGTTGCAATGCGTGATCCACACTTTAAAGTCCCTTCATGACTGGTATGTCTCTGCATCGGACTTTCAAGTCTGAAAAATGAATTTGAAAAATGAAATTGCGTCACACCTCACCAACCCTAATACAGGGTTGGTGAGGTGTGAAGCAATCCAAGCGTTTCGATTTCCTCTTCCCTTCTATTTTCAAATCAATCTTCGGGTAAAGTCGATAAGTCGGTTTCAGAAATGTCGAATTCTCCGCACCAATATTTTTCCAATAGTGGTGAGACGCATTTATCGCTCAACATCGACCCAGCTAGAATATTGACCTCATCGCCCCCCCCCCCCCTCACAGATTCTCAGGCGTGGAAGCCTCGACCGTGTCTTCTAACTCGAAATCTCGTTCTTTAATTCAGGATAAGATTAGCGAAAGACTTAGGAAATGAATGTTGCAGGAACTCGTGGCACCGCTTGGTTGTCACATCAAGTAGAAACACGGCACGAGTCGCTGCCACCGAGTGCAATGCATCTGATAGTCATCCAACTAAGAGTGGGTTTACTCATGCGAATGTCCTCATATAAAACTTATTCGCGGAACAGTGCCAGCCAGCGTTTCTCACTCACCCATGAAACTATGCAGAGAAATCCCATTTCATTTAAATATTCACCGAAGCAGGTCGACTGTGGAAACGATTTCTCCACTCGAGTAATCGTCATGCGCGTATGCCTGCATTTGTCAAATCACTGAAAGGCAGCGGTTCTCAACCTCTTCTTAGCAAAGGCACACATTTTGGGCAGCAAGGTATCGGTGGCACCCTTGCACATCCATGTACACAATAACATAGGTCTAACTGAAAATTAGGAAAACCAGGACCTCTGAATTCTTATAGGAAATATATATTCTGAACTGTCGCTTACCAAGACAATAATATCAAGAAGGTTGATTCAAACTCTTCATTTGTTGATTATTTCATTTCTATGGGATACTTGTGTTTGCCTCTGATTTTAAAGAAAATCAAGATAAGGTTAATATTTGAAGTGAATTTGTTGTGCTAAACTGGACCTGAACTTATATTCATATACCCAGAGTATGAGATGGTAGACGCACTTGGAAAAAGTAATCAAGATCTTTATTGTAGCAACAATATTAATCTTGGCATCCTTCCTTGATAGAACTCTCTAAATCAGGGGTGCACAACTCAAAAGGCTGTGAGGGCCATTTGCGATTTTTTCTCACCTACCACGGGCCGCAGTGAGTCATAGCTGGTGGTCATAGCTGTGGCCAACAGGGCAGGAGCCATTGTAGCACTTACAACGCCACCAGTCATGGCGGGCCACGAGCAAGGGCCTCGCGGGCCGTATGTTGTGCACCCCTGCTCTAAATGAACTTTTATTCCAGGAATGTCCAATATCACTGTTTAAAAAAAATATTTCGGAAAATTCCAAGTAAAGTAAATGCATCAAATTTTCTGTCTAAAAGGAAAAGGAAATACCTACTTGATAACGGATACAATGCTTCCCATTTTCTCACGTGAACGGTGCGTTCCGAGAAAACCCAGGAATTGCTATGTGCGAGAGAAGTACGTGAAGTACCCTATCCCTCATCATTCAGTATTTTCCAACTCCTCTTATCGTTGGAATTGTTTTTTTTTCCCGTTGGGGAATGGGAATTTTCGTGCCTTCACGCGAGATGTGAGGGTTTTCCAATTTATTTCAAAATTCCTTATCTGCATTCATAAGTTCAAGACGTCCTGTTCCCTCTCGGAATATTTCTTTCAAAAATCAAAGTTTCTTTCTGTTCGTGGCTTGCCCTCATTAATCCATGGAAATTTTATGAACTTCTTTCATGGAAAAGTGAAAAGTACCATTACTTCAACCGGTTCTTCTGCGATTCATTTTCGTTCGATAAAATATTCCATTTAACTCGAAAAATCGCGACTCACGTTCGTCTCTCTCCCTTCTGAAAGAGAGCGTCAGGGCGAACAGAGTATCTCAAAGGCATTCTTAATGATACTTTCCTTTTCCGTTCAGTATGGACCACCGGCGCCTTGGAAATTTGAATCATGTGAAGCAGGGCATGCTGAGTTTCAGAGCAGTTCTTTTCCCAACTAGGAGAAAAAGCTATCATGCTGTTACCTTCTCCCGTATGGCAACAATCATGGAAAGATCATCACTTCGAGAATCGAAGCTCTTATTCCCGTTATACCAGGAGATCTTAATTGTGGGAATTTCTGGGGTCAATTAGAGTTCTCTACGATACGGGTCATAAACTGAAGGTCTCGGGTTGCTTCCCTAAGGTGTCGACACTGAAAGTTTCGTATTATCAGGAAGATATGTATATTACGGTGAACTTAAAAATGACATTTACAACTCATGCATGAGAAGGAGCCGTTCAATAATTGTATGCTCTGAATTTTCCTGGGATTTTTGGAAACAGGCTTTTCCGGAAAAATCTTTCGCTTTAAGGTCGGATTTTGAATCCTTCGCTATAATATTCCAGGAGGATGGGGTAAAAAAAAATCCGCCAGTAACACAGACTAGTGTTTCTTGGAGAAGACAAGCCTTTTTCCAGAGCATGGTAGGATATCGAGGTTTACTTATTCCTAGTCAGAAGTTTTACGACGTAAAATTGGAAAGTCAGAAAGTTGTTCACAGTAATGAATCAATGGAAAAAAAAAACTTACACATATTGTGCACTCTTGGTATATAATTTTATGAAGAGCGCAGGCTGAAGTCAGAAGTGTGATACTTCGAAAGCGGTTCTACGGAATAAATTTGCTGCCCACTCATTGTGTGCTCCTTGTTAAGCATTGCAGCCTTCTGGTCATTCGCCTCTCCTTTGGCGGCAGGCCAAAAGGAAAAGCTGATAGTCCCCACGGCACCCTTGTCAGCCTCGGTACCCTGGGATTCATGTGACCTAAGCCAGACGCATGTGCGCGCAGATTATCGACAAACTGCCATGGAGAGTCCAGTGTTACGAGTATTTCAAGAACTATCTTCGAATGAGTGCATGTATTTTGTTTTGTATTTGAAATGCAAGTCCGATTGTATATTTTGCATATTTATTCTACTTCCCCTTCCTATTAGTTTTTTTTTTAATTTAAATATAGAGAGAGGAATAAAAATTTTTGTTAGGACGCCTGATGCGGTTGTAAACTTTACTACTCTATCCCATCTGCTCATTATCGGCATCCCCAACTCTAATGATTTTGCTATACCTGGACGAACTAGACAGTCCATGACCGTACAAATGAGATGGAATTAATAATGATAATACTTAATTATAGCTCTAATATTCGTGCCTGACTAGCTGTTCGCAAGCTTGATAGTGACGGCGTTTGACATGGATTTAGGTGTTTGCCTACCGCAATTTATCTCTGAAGTGAGCAGAAAGCCTGTCTTACAAGATGGTATTTCTACAAGTGAACCTTCGATGAGAGAATTATATTTCTTCAATAGTGGCTGACCGCGTACACGTATCGATCCTTCGATGAACACGTTCACAGTTAGCGGTTTCACAGTCTCACGGGTTTCACTGCGGGGTTCACAGTCACGGACTGTGAACGTGTGGAGACTTGTGAAACGTGGCACCCGCCCGGTCCCTATTGTCGTGATTGCGGCTCCTGCAGCGTTCGCAGCAGTCCTGATTTTTACGAAACGAAGAAAACGAAGACAAAGCAGAGGAAGTTGGCTACAGATTGGATCCTTTGAAGCCTTTCGATTGGGATTCCGCAGCTACTCGGCTCCAGAAGTCTAGTCCCTGGGATAGAAGAGGCAGATAAGGCCTAGGCCTTCGCGTCGTCATCGATTACAATGCTGGGTGTGGTCCTAGCTAGGACCCCTGACCTAGGCTATTATGTATGAGAGAGGGAGAGACTAAGAGAGAGAAATGTAAGAAATGTGTTTCGTTCGGATTGAAAAGAAACCCAAAACTTAGTCGACCTTATGGGTTGCTTGTAAGCATTTTTGCACATTGTTCACTATATGTGCATCATAGGCCAAATAAATATGAGAATATTGGCCTTTGTTAAACATTTATGCAAGGATACTGCGGCAGCGCAGTACTTGAAATACACAAAGAAAGTATTTTAAAGCCATATTTACAACACGTTCCTCGCAAAGTATCGGTATTTGAAATAATTTCAATAGCGTGCTGTCCCTAACGCAGACGGAGACAATTGAGGGTTGTCATACCTCCTCAAGGGCATGATTAGAGGGGAAGGAGACCTTCGTGCATAAGCAATTCTTCAAGGGTCATGTGCGGTTCTTGCTGTTTGATCGATCGTCAGGACAAAAGCTGGCGGTTGCGATGCATGTCGTCTAGAACTCTGAACACGGATGAAAATAAATCTGCTTTCTGGCATCGAAGCTGGCAAGAGGTTTCCTAAGAATGTAGCTTTGTGAGAAGAAACATGGCGGGTAGAGAAAAGTTGGCGTTTCGAGATGTCCTAGACTCTAGAGACTAGGCGAGGCTCTCAGAGAGCGTATGGTCCACATATGGTTGGATCGAAGCGTCTGTTTTTTTTTTCGTTTTTCGTGGAGCTTCATTTATTGTAGGGGGGGACTGCACTTCTCCACGATAGTAAATGTGAATGGTGTGTTCATGTTGGTTTGCAGAGAACATCCCGGAACCGGTGTTCCCCCGTCGTCGGAAGCACCCAGAGCTCGCATATAATACAAGTCCATGGTACGGGAACCTCCGAGACGGAGGTCATCAAGCACATGCCTCCTCCGATGCCCTAGACTCCCCGCCTCAGTCCAACGACAGGGCAAGGGTAAGTCCCCAAATGCGGTTCACGCTTAATCATCTAGGTGTCTTACCATCTCGTCGTCTCTCGCTGAACTGTCCGAACGTTCACGTCTCAGACGGATTCAAAGAAAGCATTCAGGCATGAGCTCGATTCATCCATGATCATCTCAATTCGTAGCATATGTACCCTATTGTTATGGAGTGGGCAATTCTATGCCTGTACTTGCTATTCACGAGGTGAAAAGCACTCTCATTTCAATAATGAAATCAAAGACAAACAGTGGATATCCAGGAGACAACTGTGCGGGACTCCACTCGTCGTTCCTGGTCATTGTGCGAAGATCGTGAAGTCTCTGACCCAGATCGATCTCTGACAAGGCCACGATAAAAGTCCCTGATTTATCCGGGAATGGTGTCTTTCATCACAGCTTCGAGTCATACCTGAGTGGAGTCGTTTTTCAATCGGTTGACCGATAGAGGCGAAATCTTTTGTTCCTTCACCGAACTTCGAGGCATTGGGTACGGCCAAACACTAATCGACTGCATACGAGCGGAAGGAAACACGGCATTCTAATTGTCACCTTTCTGTATATAGAGGAAAGGTTCTCAGCCGAGTGTAACCAGTACTAGGCCATCATTAGATACCGAGTATCATCTCGTCGAGACGCACTGCCAATCTCACGAGACATGTTTCCTTCTCCCCCTCTCAAAACTGCCAATTTAATGTGAAAATGATGCTTCTGCTACTATCATTCGCCTGGCCACCCAATCGGTACACTTTCTTTTTTTTTTTCCGTGGAGCAGTCGACGTACAGAGAAGATCGGGAGAGTGCGGGTCGGAGAAGTCGGTCGGAGGGACCGCAGAACCGCAGCTTGGGGAGACTCTCTTTCCTCTCCAGGCCTCCACCCTTCGGCTGCGACATTGACTTCAAGGTGACCGATTGCTCTTCGTTTTCCCCAGGAAGGCATCGGTAGTTGCGAGACGAACTTGCGAGTGTCTTCGTCGTTCTGTCCAGATCCCATACAACTACCCTCCGCCGGCTAGGAGTGCGTACGTGCCCAAGGAGTCCAGTGAATACGCGTTGCAATATTGCTGGCCGCGGTCCTTGGAATCCACGCCTCGGAAGACTCCGAGGCCTGACATGGTCCCTGATACCCCGAGGAAATCCCAATCTCTTTCTCTCATAGGAGCCGATCAAGGTCTGTTCCAGTCTGATAACGATTCTTCGGTAAAATGAAGCGATTCAAGATCCAAAATCGACAAAGAGAAATTAATTAAATCAAATTCCAAATTTGGAACCAAAATTGGTAGATTCCGAGGAAAAGGGAGGGGGGAAAACAACATAGACAAGCAAAGAGTTGTTTATCTCAACTGGAGACCATGCTGGAATGAGAGACGTTTTTTGCTTTCAGGTTTCCAATATCAGAGGCAGACGCAGAACTTTAGAAATTTCTGGATCGGTTCAACTCCGAATGTACTGCGGCTGGTGTGTTTCCAAAACTCAGGTTATGGTTCAGTCGAGAATTCCTGTACTGGGCAATCTTGATGTGAGGGGGGCCCCACTGGAACAGGTGGAAAATTTTTAGCAGTTTGGGCTGCGGTTCTCGATTGACGGGCGAAATGGAACGAGACCGAGGGTCACATCTTCAGGACTACCCCAGTTTTGCGGAACCGGCCGACCGTGGTTGTCAATTTGGAAGTTTTCAACGAGCCTCACGGTTTTTAAGAATCTCTATTCCCCCTCAATTACGGCCGTGAACTTTGAAAATCGCGCAAAGAAACTGCCCCGAAGAGGCTCTTACGTCGGGATGCCGGCGTTACGCGTCGTTACGGGACGAGGAGTGCCGGGATCCGTGAGAACCGCACGGTCGAGCGGTTACGGACCGATCGAGAAGTCACGCAAGCCAAAAAAGGCGTTTGCCAAAATCAAGAGACTGGAAAAAACGTTTTTTTTTTACACAGGAAGGAATCTCGCACGTGCATCACACGTAATCTCAGGTTGAAGGTTTGGTGCTGACGGCAGGTACTGATGCCGAAAGTACCCCCCACTTTATCGAAGGCATGCATTAACGCAACGCTTCATCCTCGACGCACGTTGTAACGTGAATCCCATCTCAAATCATCCCGTCGCTTATGGTCAAGTAATTCTCCGGATCGAGAGGTCTTGCTCCTGTGATTTGGATAAGTCCGACAATTCACAGCTTAGAACGACGGGCAGAACACCAGTGGGCAGACTTCGTACAAGGTGCAACGACAGTGTTCCAAAGCCGACGGCAGCAGCTCGAGGAATCCATCGAACAAACGGTGATCGCTTCGATGGTCGGGTCGTCTCGGGTCATCGTCTCGTCGGTGTAAATCGTTCCGGGAAGAAGTCGAGCAGCGGCAGCGTCCAACGTCTTGTGTCCTGTACTTTCTCTAGTGGTTCTGTTCTGATTTTTTGGGGCACTTAGTGCATTGCTGAAGTTCTTTTGAACATCAGGGGGAACAGGAATGCAACTGCGAAATTATTTGACCAAACGCTGACGAAATCCGGACGCTTCTTTCAAAATCGGCATCAAGTTCTGGAATTCAACTATTCCCAGCTCTTTTCGTTTCCGCTTTTGAGTCTTCTAGCGGATTTCATAAACCTAAGGCCTTAAAATCGTGCACTCTAAAAGCTACCCGTTATATTCCAACCCGTTGAGCACCAAGATCTCGGAGGCTCAAAGGTCAGCTTAAAGTGAGGCCTTTGCAAAAAAAAAATTGATCGCATAAAGCAAAATTCATTGTTAACAAACTTGGAAAACTTAGAGAGCTAAATGTATGTTCTAGAGGAAGATTAACCTCGACTTCCAATTCCTTTTCCAAGTGGATCACATGGCTGCTACCTAATTTTAAGGCACTAGGAGATCATAATTGCATATTCCTTTCCGGCTACGGATTAGACACACAACTAGAAAAAAAAGGCAAAGAACATCGAGATCGAGGACCGCAGGTTTGTACCCACTGCTCTATCGCATCACCTCTTCCATGTTTGGATCATCGTTGAATTTGGAAATTGTAGGAAGGATCTAAACGTGGGTTATCAGAAATAAGGAGTGCGTGTGACGTCTGGGTACGCTGTAATACAAGGACGAGGTATACAAGAGTTGCTACTGGCAGGGACTGCTCAGACACGGTGCCCCGCTGTTTGATCGAACACGCTGGCCTTTAGAGCCCTCCTATATATCTACACATCATGATGAAGATTAACGTACGGCTTGAAGAGAATAGGTTCTGTTCTATCCCGAAATGAAGATGTAGGTATAAAACGTGTTCATCGTCATATTTTTCCTGCTGTGATGACGCACTTACTCTCACCTCCAAGTTTTACTCATATGGGTCATGGGAGAGCAAGGAAGCGTGAGCTGGTTCAGTAATTGAAAATAACAAGCTGTGTAAGCCCAGTCCAGTATTGGTCCTCCTTTCAATGACTGTTGGAAAGAGGATGATGTTCCTGGTAGGTTGGGAGATAGGAGGAGAGTACGACGTGCAGCATTGCTACTGTAGATATGGAATAACACTAGTCCAGCTAGCAACCCTGTCTCCGCTGCCATGTACTGCCCTTCCCTTTCATTCTCAATAACGGATCCGTCAGTTATAAGGGCTGAAAGGAAACCAACTCCTCTGGCTGGTTACATGACATCCCAAGGAAGCTGAGCGATGCGCATGTGCATTGAGGTCGTGATCCAGGAAGGCTGACAGTAGCTCCTGCCTTCCCCGCTGTGAATAAATTTCATGTTCAAAATTTGCGATAAAAATTGTTTTTGGCATGAATATGTCGAAAAACGAATTTAGCCTATATCTCCTCCATGTTTACCTTCATACCTATTTTCACAGTTGTCAGACCAATTTATTTGTTATTGTAAGACGACCTAAGAGTGAGACACACAAACACATAAGATATAAGTGGTCTCTCTCCTTTCAGGAAAGGCGGCCCACTAAAAAGGAAAGTATCGCCATGCTCCTCGTCTTCTAATGCCAGGGTAGAGTGAGATTGATTCCCCACGGGAGACTTAGGCCATCCTTTCCTCGCGCAGATGTGTAGAAAATAACCAACGTCTTTCCTAAAGCGTGCGTTTAAGGATGGAACGCCTTCATGTCTGTTGAGTCTTGGCACGTTCTTAATTGCCTTCCTCGAAAGGCTGTGACTAAAGAAACAGGCTAGTACCTCTTATTGCTTCTATAACGCTATGCGATTCCTTGTGGTTACGCATGCTACATGCATTTCTCTAGAAACCAGTATGCACGGAGTTGATGTTTTCATATCTCATCTTGCCTCAACTATTCCATTCCGTCTCGTTTTTATGCCAGAAAAAGACAGAAGGAGAAGCCCGGGACGATCGATCGTCGGATTCAGGTTGGCAATGCTCTCCTAGTCGATCCTTCATATTGAAGCTGGGTTAGGGCCATATCTCCAATGACGTAGAAAATTTTCAGCCGCAGTTGGACGCCATTCGTACAGTACTGGCATTCAGTCTATATCACGAGACGGAATCAAGCTGTGAATATGCACATAGCAGACACTCCATTTGCGATCGCAGCAAGGGTATTTTATCAGGGAAGAAGAACCTCATACATAATGACATTTGGTTACCATGGCAACTTAGAAACTTCATCTTGCTATGCCCTCTTATGTAGTTCTCTGGGGATGGAATCAACACTTTCGCCTTCCTTACTTCTTGCAATTTATTTCTTCCTCCCAGGAAAGAAACTCACGCTTATCGAGTGAAATATGAATAAAGATTAGGAGGTACAGAAAAACATACTCGTACTTTCTAATTAACACATTAGTAATCATTTTACATGACTTGTTGCCTGACTGATTCCCTCAGGCATGATCTTCCCAATGCACTCGTGTTTTTATTCATGCTCCGCGTCCAAGCTAAAGCAGGAAAATTGGTTTTGCCCATTTGAATGGATGGTGTATGTTAAAAAAAAAATCCTGAAAAAAGTCTAGTCAAGAGTTTAGTGATTAAATTTGGCATATCAGTAGGTCTAATTCTACAACTGGGAAAATAGGACACTCGCTTAAGCTAAAACTATACATATATTAATTTTTGCAAGTTTTGTCATTCCAAAATGTCCCACAGCTATGGGTAGGCGGGTGACGAAACTTGGGAGACGTAGCTAAAAGATTGAGTAGATGCAAATAAGAATTTTATTTGAAAAGGTTCAAAAGTGAACCTACAGTAAGAGTTGGAATGGAAAAAGTGCGGGTGCAGAGGAAGTTCTCTTGGCAATAAACAGCTGACCGGATCTGGATGCTTGCTTCGAGAGTTCCTCACCGCTTCCTCTCGTCTCCGATAGGAGACCACATCCTCTTACTCGCAGAAGGCTTAGTGAAGGAAGATCTCACTTCATTGGTGATTTCTTTCTGTTAAACAGCAACCGGGTGGCGTGGAATGAACGGACAAGTGACAGCGGGGACTCCAACCCAAGACACTTCAACGGAGAAAGTAGTTCGGTAAGAGAGAGAGAGAAGGAATAGCTTCAGCATGCCCCGAAAATGTTGCAGGATTTCTTACTATTTGAGAACCGTGTCTCATAAGCCTATCAGTTGAAGGAAAAGAAAAAAAAGGGAGGCCGCAGCAGGAAGAGGAGTGGACGGCACACTCAGTAGTTTCTTTTTATCCCTTGGTCGGTAGTGTTAATCTAGCACTTTTTCAAGATCGTGCATGTATGCAACAAACATTTTTGTGATCTCCACGGTATACACTGGGAGTGCCAGTGTTGCGACTTCGAGTAAGGTCGTTTCATGTTGCTACATGGAGATATTCCTGAACGTGGGTCCAACCCTATCAGCAATGGAAACGATACGATAGTGAGTCATGCTTACTCCCTGTTTTGAAACCACGAAGTCATAGCCCTCGGCAATGAACCAAGTGACGAGCATTAATAGGAGGCGATAAATTTCTCTAAAGTTTCTGCTTTCTGCCGACTTTCAGCAGCATTATTAAGTATTAAAAAAAGAGTGTGCATGGTTAATTTAGTTATGTTTACACATTATCACAAAATTACGCTCACCAAGATCGCAATGAATACACGTAGCACGTCAAATGTTCTCATCAGGAACTTGGGTGTTATGAGACAAGTAACTTTCGGAGATTAGGTGCAGACCTTTTTCCCTAATACCACAGGCATACGATGAAGTATTACTTCCACGGAGTCAATATTGTCATAATTGAATTTGATTGTCTTCTTCCTCTTCCCTGCCCTTTCATCGAAGTCACGGCAGGTGATTTGTGATAATTCTGCTATCGCTGTCTAGTTTTTGTCAATGTCTCATAATTCAACATTTTGCAAATGTCTTTCACACAGGCCAGTATTGAAATGAAATTGTCATTTCGCAGACAAGCGAGCTCCTTCTTCGTCAATTTTGAGGCAACATTTCGTGTCATGGTTCTAGACGTGCACACGGAATCTCCTTCATTCTTTCCTGGCTGGTTTCTTAAGGGAGAGTGCCACGCCCTCGACTGGTGGTCTAATTCCCCGGCAGACAAAAAAGGAGAAGATCTGACCCTCTTCCCAAAATCTTTTTTTTTTCTCCCCTTGCTCTTTAGCGCGAAAGAAACACTGCAGCATTTTCATGGAATGGTATATTGTTCATGATGAGACTGACGGAGAGAGATAAACTCAATCGATTGCATTTTTAGGAGAAAATACAAGTCAGAATACAGCAAGAAGTTCCGGCCGTTTTCGGCGTACCAGTATGTGGATGGTCAATGGAGGAAGGCGAAGGGGGACCCGTCGATGCCAGGGGAAGAGGATGATAACACGGATGCAGAGGCTTCGAATTACCACGGTCATTCCACCTCCACCTCGGTCACCCCTATCTCCACCCCTGACGTTCACGCCAAGCCCTGGTACGCTGAGGTCTCCGAACTCCGCAAGCAAGCCGGCCAATATCGGGTTAGTTCATGCAAATTATCTTCTGCCTACGGTCTCTCCTGTTTTTGTGAATACCAGTATCCATTCCAGTATCTCCTCTCTGATATTTTGACAGCATTTCTTTTATTATTTTTCTATCGGCAGTGTCGGGGATGGGGGACGGGATTGACGTCGGAACATATGGCAGGGCTGTACAAGGAACAAGCTGCTACCCCTCGACGCAGTTCGATCACTTCCACTTATACGGCCGCTATTCTTGCCAACAAGTTAGTCTTTTTCCTTTTCTGCCAAAATTAACCACCAGTAATAAAGTGATTATAGCGTAGTCCTAGGAATAGGAAACATCTCCCCAAGAAGTTGACTTAAATTGGCAAAATTATCCAATCACCTTCGAAGATTTGAATTCCGATGATCTCAGCTAATGTCTCAATGGATGAGGCGATCCTTTGATATTGAGGTCAGGTTCTAGGGGAGGACACACTTCTTTTAAATTGGCATGCTTGTCAGATGCAACCTGGTATTTTTTTGTCTAATCAGGAGCGATCGCGAGAGCCCAAAACGAGAGAAAGGGCGAGAGAAGGAGAAGGAGAAAGACAAGGAAAAGGAGGAGGCAGAGAAGGAGAAGAAGGCGAAACCGAAACTGGCCCCGAAGCCTCGGCCTCCTCGATCAGCTGCTAAGCCTGGACCGAGACCGGGATCAAGTGAAGGGACAACGAAACGAGAGCCGTCATCCACAGTGACAGGGACGGAGAGGAAGCGCCCTCCCTCTGCTCCTCCCAAGCCCTCCGCCAGGACTCCACTTCCCACTAAGCGTCTACCCACCAAAGATACAGCTCAGAAAAAGCCTCCTGTCGGTACGTTCACTCTCCCGCACGGGAGTGCCATTTTCAGCGCCTTGCATCTTCAGTCATTCGGATTCGCTTCTACAGCTGAGAAACCCAAGGTTCCTCCAAAGAAGACTCCTTCTCCGTCCACTCCCAAAGTGAATGGATCGACATGGAAAGGAGCTCAACCTCCTCCGAAGCCTCCAACCTCAGGCGAGTTTCAATATCATTACCGGTACATTTCAACCAATGCTTAAACCATGATCTATGAGTTCTTTCTGTCAGTAGCTGGGGCCAAGAAGGTGCCAGCAGCTCCGGCCAAGAAGTCATCTCCCAAGCCAGCAACGGAACCCAAACCCTCCAAACCGAAGCCAATCAAAAGGCCTGAGCCAAAATCCAGTTAGTTTGAGGCAGGTGTTTTCCTAGGAATATTTCAGTGCATCGTACTATACGACAGATGTTTTCCATGCAGAACCGGAATTAGTTCCAGTTCCTCAGCAGGAGAAAGCTGAGGTTCCAGAGACTTCAAAAGAAGAGGAGGTAAGGTCCATTCCACAAGAGAAGGAAGTGAAGAAGGAGGAAAGTATGGAAGTGACAGCTGGAAGCAGCATTGTTGAAGACGAGGAGAAGGGAAAACCAAAACTGGAACCCCAGACCGAACCCAAATCCCAATCCCCCCTGGTCCCTGACCACTCCCTGACCCATGGATCCGAATCAGCAGGTAATTCCACGAATCCCCTTCATCCTCCTTCTTTTGCATCCGAGCGCAGAGGAAATTTTTATGTTATCTAAAAATCACATGGTAGACTCTCTCGTCGTGCATGGATGTTTATAATACAAAAACATTACAAATTCATCAGCACGGATCTCAAATTCAGTTCTGGTCATATTGCATGTAAATAGAATGCATAAATGGCTCGTGCTACTTCATTGTTTGTAAGGTAACATCAAGACATACCTCTGATTTGAGTATGAGATGAGTGACTGCAACATAGAACTCAAAGATTTATCTTTAGATTTTTTTCCCCCACGAGAATTTGATTTACACAAGGCATGGAAAGCAGACCTGGATATGGTTAGCTGATTAAGCAAATCTGTTCTTGATACATTATACTGCCAATGTCTATGACTATTTGTCAAAGACTTATGTGATTTTCATGGATACTTGTAGAGTAAGTCCAGTAAGTCCAGGTTCTTTTGTGCAAGAAAGTAGCATGAGTGTGAGTGTGTATATGTATGAATTTTGATTTTTTGAGTTTTTGTGAACTCAGAGAGACTGATTTCAGGTCTGTTTTTTTTTCTTTCTCTTTCCCTTTCTTGCCCCATTTGCCTGCCTATGTCCCGTTTCTCTCTCTCTCTCGCTCCCTCTCTCTGTCCCTATCTCTCTCTCTCTACCTCGTGCTGATGGGGATCCAGGATCCTGCTCTGTCGGGGACCAGCCAATCACAACCACAACCATTTCCACCACCACCACAACCCCCCCTTCCCCAGAGCCCCCTGCTAAGGCCAGCCACACTGATCACTTGATGATGTCTCGGGATGTCCCAGGAACAACACTGAAGTGTCTCGATGACCCATCCTTCTTCTTCGACAAAACGTCAAAATCTGAAGCTAGTCGTGCTTCAGAACTGGAGGCAGAGACTGTACTAAGTGCTTCACAGGAGCCCTTGACTGAGAAAGAAGGTATTCAGATGCCTTCAGATGCCATAGAGGATGAACCAGGAGATGCCAGAATGCTCCAACAAGAGCCAGATAAAAATGGGAAGCCAACTTATCAAGTACTAGAAGATCCCACGTTTCAAGAAAATGAGCCTGATGTGTCCCATGGAAAGGAGCCAGAACAGCAAGAGTATGCCACTCATCAAATGCTAACAGATCTTCTCGTCCAGGAAATAGCTCAGCAAGATATAACAAAAGATGAGACGCCTAAGCTTCATGTGGAGTTTGCTCCATCAGTAGTCAATGATGAGGAAAGTTGCATAGAAGATGAAAGTGCAGAAGGGCATATTGAGGAGCCCTCTCAGCCATGTGACATGCATGAAACACTCCATGAAAAGTCAGATGGAGATCAAAGTCAGGATGAACTAAAACCAGCTTATCACAAGCTGGAAGATGTGAGCAGGTTTGAGGAAAATGGGGAAGCCAAGGAGGAGGTGCCAAAGCCATCTTACATGGTTTTGGAAGACCCTTCATTTGAAGATATGTACAAACAGGTTATTGAGGAGAAAGGCAAAGATTCTACACAGACTGAAGTAGAGGACACTTCCCAGATATTCAAGACACCTTTGGTATGCACTTCCTCTGAAGAACCAATTGAAAGCAGCCAAAAAATGGAATTGGAAGCCTCATCAGACATGGTTCTTCCAGATTCTCAAATTGAGAATAGTGCTGTCCAAAACAACTACTATTCCCTCCAAGGTGATGAGATTGACCAGAATGTATGCAACAGGGAAGCAGCTACTCCCAGGCAGGAAGACCTTGGTGAAGAGAAGTTTCCTTCAATGCCTGAGAAAATTGAAGCACATAGTCACCATGTCCATGAGGACAAGCCAATGCCTACATACATAAGAGAAACTGAAGAAAATGCTGAAGAACCCAAATCAGTGCATCTAGAAAACTTGCAAGAAATCATTTCCCAGGAGGATAAGGAAGTTAATCAGGCTCAACAGCCAGAGAGTGAATTAGTAGACATTAATGACAACATGCAAGTTACTTCAAACACTGAAATAAATCAGGAACTAGCACCATCTGAATCCACACACACACTTCCAGAGGATGAAATTCCCATTGCTCAGGAACTTTCTCATCCAATTGAAACAAAATCAGAGGAGCTAGTGGGAGGTCTCCATGAAGGATTTGTGGATACCAAGGACATTGCTAATAGACAAGATGGCATGGAGGGCAAGGTGCCAGTAGACAACCAAGTGGCACTATCAGGAACACCAAAGACTGAAGGGAATACAGGAACAGAAGGAAAGGATGAAGATATTGAGGGCATTGACTTGGCTGCTGGAGAGTTGGAAAAGCATGGACTGGAATCAGATATAAGTTACCAGAGTTCAGATGTGATACAACATGACTCAGCACAAATAGCAGAAAATACAAAGGAGAGGACAGCAGATCTCAATACATTTCCTCCACCAAAAGGAGAAGATAAAGAAACTGAGAGTATTGACTTCAATGCTGGTGAGTCAGAAAAGCATGAACTTTTACCTGAAAAGAGTTCCCAGCAATCAGACATTATACAACATAGCACAGCACAGATTGCAGAAAAGGGTGAGGAGAGAACAACAAATCTTGATATATTTCCTTCATTTGATGGGAAGGATGAAGAAACTAAGGGCATGGACTTCGATGCTGGAGAGTCAGAAAAGCATGAACTGGCACCAGAAACAAGTTTCCAGCAGTCAGATGTGATACAGCATGGCACAGCACAGCTAACAGAAAAGGACGAAGAGAGAACAGCAAGTGCATTTCTTCTTTCTGAAGCAGATTCCCAGGCACCTCATGATGAAGAGGTGGACATAGAACTGGTAGACTCAACTCCTGAAGTCCCAAAAATGGAAGAATTCAGTGAAAGAAGGGAAGGGAGAGACATTAAAGAATTGGCTTATGAACAAGAGGAGAATACTGACCCTAAAGGCATAGAAAGAGACACCAACAGTTCAATTCTCCTGGATTATGCAAGAAGTGGAACTGATTTTGAGGGGAAAGGAGCACAAGAGCTTGATCCATCTGAGCAATGTCAAAGTGAAATCACACATGAAAAATTAATGGTAGGAGAGGATTCCAGCATGGATTTTGAAACAGAGGATTTAACTCAAGTGGAAGATCAAAATGGACTCCATGATGACCACATCAATGGGAACATTCCTGAGCTTGACAGGAATGATGTTCTAGAATCTAAGCATGGGGAAAGCTACAATATTGACCAAGACAACGAAAACCAATATCATTCTGTAGACCTGGAGAAGGATACTGACCAGAGACCCAGAACAGACTCTGAGGAAGTTCCATCTCACAGAGATGGAACTCTTCCTGCAGCAACCAATATGTTACAAAAAGAACAGCTAGACATGTCTTTGGAGAATGAAGATGAGATATTTACTTTGGAAGAAAGTGAGGCAGTGACTGAATTTCGTGAGAAGCCAGAAGATTTAGAATTATATAACCCTCATAGCATGCAATCAGAAATGTCTGCCAGGATGATGGAAACAGAGCACCTAACAGAGGTAAAAGAAGATTGCAGTGAGCTTGGTCAGCAGGAAAACCTTGCAGCAGAACAGCCTGTGTCTTTCATTGAACATTCTGTGATAGTGAACAGAGAGGCAAAAGAAGCAGCTGGTGACACTAAACAGCTAGATGACATCTCACAGCAAATGCCAGAGTTGCCAGAAGCCCACATTGATCAAATTTCAGTTGGAGTTCCTGAAGCTACTGAAATTGGTATCAAATCTAAAGAGGAAGAAACCTACACTCAAGAAGAACCTGAACTGTTCATGGAAAAACTTCATGCTGATGAGGGACCAGTCACCAGGATGCTCACCAGTCTAGAGAATGAATATAAATTTAAGTCACAGAAAGAGCATGATGTCACTCATCAGCCCTCCATTCAGCTTTTAAAGACTGAAATAGCATCAGAAATGCTAGACACCAATGCAGGTTTTTTAGAAAATGTTGAACATGAAGAACTGCACTCACAAGAACTTGCAGAAGATAGCCAAGACAGACAGTCCTGGACTTTACATAACCGGACACCCCCTGCGATGTGTGAAACACATCCTATTGAGATTATGACAGGTGTGAGTGACAGAGCTATGAATCTCGATGAACCAAACATGCCTCAACATAGAGAGGAACAAGTCATCACTGATGAGCTCACTCTGGCTGAGAGAGAAGTACTTGATCTTCCACAGCCAGAAATGGTAGCAGATGAGAAAGACATCCTTTTGGAGGCACAAAACTCACAAAAAACAAAAATTTTAGAAAGGGATCAAGAAGAGAACTTGGCAGGAGGAGAAGATGTAATGGTCAATATTTCCAATGAGACCCACATTGTGGATCCAATTTATGGCTCAGAAACTGAAGTATGCAGAGAGGAAGGGGAAGCAGAAGAGTTGTATGGTAAAACTCTAGTCACTGAAGGAGAACCACTTTCTTCAAAATCAGACATTTTTCAGGAAGAAGATATTGTGACAGAGGAAACAAAGAAAATATCAGTCTCTGATGATCTCAGAACAGCTCCATCCTCTGATACCAGCCACCCAACTGAAGACAAAGATGAAATAAGTACCTCACAGCTTGTAGGTTCCAGTGAAGTTCAATTGAGCCAACAGCCAGGTGAAGCAAAGGAGGAACATTGTATGCATGATCCAGAAGTGGAGTCAGATATCTTCCAAGATGGTTCCAACATTAACTTCCCTGTGGAGGAGGAATGCAGTCATTCATTGGATTCTGGGGTGTCGTCCCGAGATGGGGAAAATGGAAGGACCGAAGAAGTCTCTGGAGACACCCAGGCATGTGGAGAGGTCTTCAAGGCTACTCTTGAACCAGCCAAGTTTTCTGATGTTGATGAAGGTTCTCCTGCCTCCTTGGAGACAGTGAATTTAGAGGAACGCTCAGAGATGAATGGCCATTCTTTATACCATGAGAATGAGAGGAAATCTCCAACCATCCTTTCTGGATCTGATCCTGTTGGTACGATGGGAAGCCTGGACTTTTCACGTACCAGTGATGTCCTCGGTGAAGCTCATTCTCGCTTTGAGGACTTCTGGAAAAAGCCATAAACTCTTCTCTCTTAGTCCATGTCCCTTCTATTCCATTTCAGAGCTTTTGGCATTTGTGTTCATTCCCTCCTACCCTCTTGTACACAGATAGAGACAAAACCATTGGCCTGGTATTGTAATCCCTAGTGAAGACAAGGACATTGTGAAGAAGGATGATGAATTGGTGGCCTATATGAGCACTTGTTTTTTCTGTGATCTTTGGTGCTTTGTGAATATCAGCTGATCCTGCACGAGTCGCTGCGATCTCTTTCTTGCTTCTTCTTCTTCGATCTCGCCTCAAGTCCCCGTAGAACTTCCT